CAACACCATGCCAGTTATTTACGGAAATTAAAGACAAAGATATGACAATGTAATTTAGGTTTGATTTCCCCTTAATTCATACATATCTTCACACTATTTAGCCAGCAGCTATTCATTGTAATTATAATTACTAATTAAATAAGTACTATATCATACAAGTACTAATATATGAAATAAAATAAACTTATAATTAGTAGCAGAAGATTTAAATGGATGGAACTTGTATAATTAAAGTATTAGATTAATAAATGATGTTTGCATGTCTTAGTTAATTGACTCGGCCTCCATTGGCAAAACAAGAATACAAGAGAGCTGAGACAAAGGCATTAAAAAGAGTGGCAATTGTTGGAAATTTCAAAATGAAATGGGTTTGATTAATTTACGTATTGGTCTTGGTTTTCTTAGTCTTGGGAATTTGTCCTTTGTGGGAGTGGAATTAACTCTAAGAAACTAGGGTTGATAGATATTGTGAGTGATGGGTGGATGAGATCAAGCGTCTCCTACACACACACACCCTTCTTCCAATTAATAGCTGTTTCTTCCATTTTCCTGTCATAAAAGCCAAACATGTTTGCATCAAACCTCCAGCAATTTTCTTTCCTAAACCTCCTCCATCTGCAACAACCCTTCTTCTCATTCTTTCACTGATAATTAAACATCTCAATTAATTCAACTTACAACATGAAATAGCTGCATTCACGACTCTATCTTATTCCATATATCACAACCAACTCCCTTTCAATTCACTAATTATCTATCTCTTTTAACAATTTATATACTACTTGCTTTAAACCATAAACCATACTATCTCACAAATTCAGTAATTAATGCTACCAACGCTGTTTTGGAATTCACTAAACCAAATCAAACCATCTTTGGTTAGGATTTTATTTCTATGACATTGAACCCAATAGCCCAATAATCTTTGCTTACATGCACAATTAAAATTTGTCCTAAAATTCACGATTATTTAATTTCAACCAATCAATTTAAATGTTCTCTTTCATTTTATTCTGTTTCTAATTATTCAATTATTACAACTTTGTTTTGGAGAAAAGGATGATTATTTGAATTAATCAACCTAAATTTCTTCTTTAATTTTTAAAAGTAAAATTCATATAACAAATTTGATGAACTAATCAATCCAACCAATTCTTATCCGTGTTAGTTGATAAAGGAAATTTATAAAATTAAATTAAACTACGTACATTCATCTTAATTTGTTTGATTTTTTTTTCATCCTAAAAGTAATTTTTTTTATATATAAATTAAAGATATCCTCTAGAAGAAATAATCCTATTCCTCTTTAGTATAGGATTTTTATAGGGGACAAAAGTATTTCTTTTATATTTAACGCATATTGAAAACTCGAATATGAGATAATTAATTAAGCTAAAATAACTCATGTTAATTAATACAGATATTAAGTTTTTCGTAAAACAAAATCAAACCATCTTGTAGCGGAATATGGGTGGATGGATTACATCGATCATGTTTCTAAAAAAGTTTATTCCATCCACCCGCCATGTAAAAGTGGAGAAATAAATAATTTTTGACATTTCATATAACAAAATATTCTTAAACCGTTAATCAGGAAAATATTAGTTATTAAACTGAAAAAAGACAAGAAATTACTCCTCCAATGCATCTGAATTTATTTTTATTAGAAATATTGCCTAAAAGCATTACGCGTATAATTTACAAAATTTGAGACTTGAAGACACATTGGACCTTGGAGTAGGCCCAATATTAAGACACGTTGGTGACTTATAAGATTTAAACCATTGCATTCTTCGTTTTGAAAAAACGCTTTGCTTTTGGTGTGTGTTGACCATATAAACAAATGCCAAATGCCAAATGCCAAATGCCAAATGCATATGCATTGCCCTATCAAACTTTTATCCTCGCTTTCGGTCTTGAAAGGAAAACAAAAGAAAATTCGTATTTATTTTTAAGCAATGCTACATGTGTTTATTGCATAAATTAAAAATATTACTTTTAAAAAAAGTATTCAATAGAAAAGTAAACTTATTTAATGTATTGAAAATTTAAACAAAAATCAATTATTTCTTTTGTTTATAATTTAACAGTATAAAGTACAAGTAAATATTTTGAGAAACTTCAGAAAATTTAAAAAAATTAATAATGGTATTACTCTTAAGAAATATGAAAATATTATATAATGATAATGTCACGATCTTAAAAAAAATGTGATCATTTTTTTCTTAATCCCAAATATAAGATTTTTAGTTTATTACCCCCCAGCTCCCTAAAAATAAGCCCATTTTTTTTTTCTTTGGGTTATGAGTTATAGTAAATAAGTGTATCAATACCCTTTGGGCTTTTCCCCCTTCGACACACTCCACCTCTTATTATTCATTTTCGGGTAATTCTATTTATTTCTGCATCTCCTTTTTTTCCTTATAAAAATACCATTTTTTTAGAAATTAACTACTTGTTGGATTTTTTTTTTGTATAATTAAGAATATAATTTCTTCCCACTAGCTTAGCCCATTTTAGGATTAGGAATATATTTATATCTCTAGTTGCAACTTTATGTTCAAAGTAGAAACAAAACTCGGTTCCTTAGTTAAGTAGAAGCTACGAATTAGATTTTTTGAAATGTATTTAAACATTTCTATATATAAAAATGTAAAATAAAATGACAAATATTTGTATTATTCTCCAACAATAGTCAATGGAAGCTAAACGCGTGAAAAGAAAAGGCGCGCACCGTTTCAATTTGAAGAATTAAGATGCAGGCACGAATGATGCATATACAATACTTATTTAACGGTGTCATCTAGATTTTTTTTTTTTCAATCTTTCTATGTGGTTCGTTTTCAATCTATACTTTTCATGCAACAAAAAAGAAGAATGAGGGGAAGAAAAAGGAAAAGGGAAAAAAAGACTTCAATGCAAAAGATACTCGACAACCTCGAGCAAATAACAGTGCTGAGAAAGGCCATGCATATTATGCAAGTATATGAATTCTTGGATTATTACTACTAATATTACCATCCTCACTATCCTTATCGATATCGATATTATATATGTAAAGGAGACATTTTTCTTTAAATTTCACTTCTTCTTTTTTTACATTTATACTTTTTTATGATATAATCTTTTTTACCATCATATTTCTTAAAGATGAAATAAAAGAAAAATATGTATATATAAAAAATTAATTGTTTATTCTATTAATAACTATTCTCTTATTTTATCATATTTCTTTGATTATATTACAGTCTATAATTTTTATTTTTTTTATTTTTTATTTTATATTATTTTTAAACAAAATACTTAAAAATAAGAAATGTCTCGGTATTAATTATAATGAAATATTTTCTTTTGTGAAAGATAATATTATTGAAGTTCAAGCATAAAATGAGTCTTACATCGATTAGAGATTTATACTTGTTGAGTAATATATAAATAAAAAAATTCATCTATTTAAAGTTTTAGATTATGTTATAGAGTTAAACTTATTTATATGACTTCTCATTATCTATTATATGAGGTATTCATCGAATAACGAGAGTTTTGATTTTGATGTTCTCTAATATTAAAACTCTTAAAAATATATATATAAATAATAATAATTAATCAATAAGAATGAGTATAGAAAAAATAGAGAAAAAAAAATAGCAGCTAGTTTCAAGAGAAAAAAAAAGTTTGATAATAAAAAATAAATAATATTATGAGGAATGTATATATAATTTTCTTTATAGCCCATAAAATAATTGTTTTTAGAAGAAAAAAGTTCAGTTTCATAAGATATTTTTACAAAAAAGTGTGTTCTACAGTGGAGCATTTTCTTTAGATTATTACTAGGTTAAATAATTTAGGATGGTTATTTTTTATGCTTTAAAGTTTTACATTCACCAACGAAAAATTACGAAAATTTGTACACGAGATATAATATAAGTTTTTTTTTATAAAGAAAATAACATGTCCAGATATGATATAACGTTTTAGGTGCTTAAAAATGAGAATTTAATGATTTATGAGTTATATTATTTATATGACAATTTTTATAACATTATTATTTTTATCTTTCATGATAAAGTTAACCATTGTATTCGTATTTCTGTTTTTTTTTTTTTTATCTCTTTCGTAATCGAATATAAATATAAATATAGTGGGGGTTAAAACTTAAAAGAGTGAGGTAATAATTGTGAAGACAGAGCGTCTGAAAGCATGAGTTTGTAGTTGGTCTGAAAAGGCAAAAGAAAGGCCTTTGGGTGAAACCCCAAAAACAGCAGCATGTATCAGTGCTCTATCGTAACTCACACTGACACTACCACTTCATCAATGCAAAGTTATAAAGTTACTCCAACCTCCCATATATCACTCATTCTCCTCCCTTTTTCCTCACATATTTCATATTTCTCTCACATATATACTAACATTTATCATCTCTGTTGCACATTTTGCAGTTATAATATCACATGATATTGATATGTACATTTTGATTTATTTTTTTTATTTTACACACTTTATCATTCTATTAATTATATTATTTATTAATTATTGATATCACATATCAGCAATTAATATAATATACATATAATAATAATATTATTATTATTATTATGATAACTGCTGTATTAACAATTAACATAGTAAATTAATGACTTTAATTAGATGATTAATAACAATAAAATGTGTAAGATTTTAAAGTTAGATAGATAAATATACAATTTGAATAGTTTAGTGACAAAATTTTGAAATCATTAAACATATATGAAAATAAGTCCTATAATTTTTTTATTTTTTATTTTTTTGATAAAAATGATTGTAAGGGAATTATTATATGATATTGTAACACGTTTTTTTCTTTTTTTTTTAATTTCTAATGTAACACATATAGCCGTATTTATAAATTTATAAGACATAATTAATAAAACTAAGATGAATGGCACCTTAAAACTATCATAGATCATTATAATTTCAGATCGTGTAATAATATAGTAATTTGTGGTGACATCTAAAGTGGAGTCTAGGGATCACTTTTGCTTATATAATTACTCAGCGAATGCAAAGTCAAGAACAGTAGAATCTGTGACTGCTCTTGTCTGCATGTCCCTTTTCTCACCTGCACTCACTCACCGATTACTCTCGAGTCTTGATTCCCTCCGTAACGTTACTCTCTCTCTTTCTCTGAATATCACAGCAAAAGTATCTTCAAAAGAAAACGTCCTTTTAAGTTGATAAGACTGCCACTTCAAACCTTTAATGCAAGAACCTTGGCTTTCATTTCACTGTTGATCTCGCACTCCTTTTCTTCCACACACCACAGATAAGGTACAATCTTTTAATGGATCCATCCAAGTCTCAGTTACATAGAAAAAAACAAGAGTCTAACATACACATTCATTGTATTATTTGAAAGCAACAAAAACAACTTCACCCTCATAATCTCCACCTTCATTACCTCTTTCTTCACTCAAGTTGTGTGGAGCATGGCCACTGCCGAATGCACGGACATGATCTTTAAGGGACCTCTTGTGCTTGAAATCAGAACCACAAACACAGAACCAAAGCTTCCCGCAATTCTTCTCATGTGTTCTCCAATCCCCTCGCACTGCAAATGGCTTGTGGCACTTCCTGCATTCAAATGGCTTCCCTCCGTGCTTCCTCTTGTAGTGTGTCTGGAGGGTCCTGAAATCCTTCAGTGGCCTTGATCTTGGATAGTTTATGTTGTTTTTGCAACCCTCCTCACAGCAATAGCAGGGAAGCCTCAGCATTGAAGAACCTGCTTTTGACCCTCTCAATGAATCCGATCCTTTCCTATACTGCGATCCATGTCCCCACATATGCATCTATGTGTGTAACAATGAGTTACAAAAATTCATGTGATGTATGAGTCACATTTAACGTTAGTTAACCCGTTGATGAGAGAAAAGACAAGTGCAAAAAAATGATACTATGGTAAGTATTTGGTAGATATTTTAGAATGGGATGGAACAAAACAAATGGGTTCAGCTTAAATTGCTGGTGCATTTTAAAAATAGAATAGAGAAGGAGAAGGTTTGAGAAATTTTATATTTTGGTTTTGCTAAACGTTACAATCCAGGCACCAATGTATACATATATATTTGTCATTAGACAAATAGCATAATCATTATTATACAAATGCAATGTAGGATTCATCTTTGAGATTTCAAAATGGAATCCGTTATTGGTTGCCTTCTGTGTATATAAATATATTTGAGTCTTAACGAAAAAAGAAAGTTCCATTTGAAGTTTATCTGGGTTCAAATAAAGAAAAATGCTTCATGCACTAGACATGCTAGCAGACAAGTAGATGTGATGGGTGATATGGTAGTAAGAAGCGAGAAATAGAAAGAAAGAAAAATTGAATAGATTGAATGATGTGTTTTCACTGTGTCAGTATCCAAAAATCAGAACTCCTCTGATAAATTCTTATGGATTCACAATGTACTAACCGAGTAGTTAAGTTTGAGGTGTTACTATACTGACTAACCTGCATGTTGTTGAAACGGTTGAACGTTTTGTTACAGACTGTGCAAGAAAACTGGGTAGGGCCAATGAGGATTTGTTGAGGAGTAGGGATCCAATATCGACCATGAAATGGAGTGGAAGAAGGTTTGGTGGCGGTGGTGGGAAGGCCAATGTGGAGGGCAACTGTTACACCACTCAAGTCATCATAGCTAGGGTTTTGCTGCTGATAATGCATAGTAGAAGACTGTTTTGGGTTATACTTAGAGAGTACTTTGGATTTGGATTGGCTAGGAGGGCCAAGGGAGAGGGATATGGACTCTTCATTGTCAACCTCATCAGCTTCTAAGCAGGCACTATCACTGCCACAAGAGGATATGCACGAGTAAGAGTGAGTATTCTGCATGCTGATATGGTTGATGGGATCGGTAATGCAGATAATATTATAAGATGAGAGAGAGGAGTGAGGGAGAGAGTTGAGTTTTGGTTTCAGATTGTAAGTAGAGGGATGAGAAAGGCCATAAATAAAGAAAGTTTGTATGTGTGTGTTTTTTATTTTTATTTTTTGTTTCTGGAATATGAGTATTTTTAACTTTTAAACATGCATGCTTTTATTTTGTGTACTGATCTTGTCTTATATGGTACTTTTTGATGAATGTATTTTCTTTCATTTCATTGAAGGATAGTAAAATAATAAAAAAAAATTCCTCTATTTTTAACAACAATTCACATTTCTGCTCTAGTTTATATTTTAAATATTTCTGCTTTCTCATTTTTTTCCCAACGTTGGATTAGTGTGCTTGGTAAAATAGAGAAAGTAATATATGCATGAGGAGGTACGTGTCATGTATTTAGACGAACATGGAATGTATAAAATTAATTATAAAGATAAAAATGATAAAATTTGACTTATTTAGAAATGGAGTAGACAAGAAAAGAAAGAGAGAGAGAGAGAGAACAGGGAAAGAGGCAAAGCATAGCATAAAATAGAGATCACAAATAGTATTTCAGGTAGAACTGAAGTTTAATTTCGGGCATGAGAGAGGTAAATCCAAGTTAATTTTCTTACACGGTATCAGTTACAGTTAGCATCTATCACGTCAGTTATTTTTAATACTAATTATTTTACCAGTTACCCGTGCGTTGATAATAAAAAAATATGACACAATAATAATGTTACACTTACACACGCAAGAGGGTTGACATAAAAGTGCAGAGATTGCTAGTGACAGAGGCTCTTCCTCTTAACTGTATCAATGTTTTTAATTAAAATTCTCTGACTAGCTGCATAATTATCTAGATACCATAGCAACTCTCTTGATTAATTGCACAGATAACGAAAAGTGAGAGTGAGTGTGCGATGGTACAGTCTCTTTCCATTTCAGAGGGAGACAGTAAACACACAAAACTATAAGTGCGTGTGGTAATATGAACAGAGTAAGTAGACATGGAGAACTGTAGAAAGGAGAGGTGTGTGTCCCTCTCTCCCACTTAGTTATTATCAAAGCGATTCTGATAGTGATGTAATGTAATGAAACTCGATCGACTCATTCAACTTTTACTATTCCAATTCCTCTGCTGCATCTGTAGGTTTTGTTTATACACCACTTCCACTTTAATCTTGTTAACAAACAATCATCACATACTTAATTCTAATTAACTTTTTAAAATTATATTATCATGGTACTTATATTTTTTTGTCACAAAACATTAGTTTTTGTATAGGTTCATCAAGGTATATATAAATGATGAAATTCTGAATGTCGGGCAAAAGGTGAGAAATATGTGACGATTGTTGTGTTGCCAAATGCCAAGTAAGCTAGATCATAACTTGAAAAGGGCATGCAACATTAATTAAGGGGGTGGAGTAAAGGTGGTAGGCCATGTCATGTGTTTGATTGCCTAAAACATGGAATCTTTGAGTGACACTGTTGAAACATCTCAGCTCATGGATCTCTTAGCCTTCAACTAAAAAGGATAGCAAAAGGTGAGGTAGAAGTTCCAATTTGAGTTTCACTATACCTAGCTACTGCCTAGAGATTAATTTCTCAAAGACTCTAGGTTATTGTTCTCTTCTCTCCTGCATGCACTCTTGCTTTCATCAGAAGAAACAACACAGATGTGGATAACAAACTTTATCCCATCTAGAGTGCTGAACGCCTCACAATCTGGAAGTACAACACTGGACTATATTTATTTCTTCTTACACTTTTGAGTGAATGAGGTTCAACCATAATCAAATCTATGTGCACTACTTTTAAGATTTTGGTGAAATTGCATATACACTTTTATTTTTTTTTATTTCTACACTAATCTCATTAGTATTGTTTCAAAAATATTAAATTAGCATTTCTATATGATCGTATGAAAATATTACACTATATCCCTTTATAAAGGAAAGTTGTTATAAATATTATAAAAAAATAAAAAAAAAAATTGTATATGAAATCTACTTTATTTTTAATGATTCTACTGTTCTAGAATTGAAAACATTTTTTTGTCTCTAAATAAATTTAGATTTGTATTCTTCTCCATGCTTCACTTTTAAAATAAAACTTAAGCAGTCCCTTAAATTACAAGATGGTTGTTTTTTTAGTTTTGAAATATATTTTAAAATTAACACATATACTTAAGTTTTATAATTATCAACCTCATCATTGCTTGAAAACAAACATGTTGCAAGTTAGTTGCTTAGTTCTTGATAACAATTTATACAGATTGTGGTATTGCAATGTGTGTTTGTTAAGGTGTGGTTGAATGGGTGAATAAAAGGGTTGAAAATGGGGAAGAAAATGAGCTTTGGATTCGATGGATTGAATGAGGGACCAAACAAGGGGCACTGTTGGTGGCGCATGAGTCTGCTTTGTGAAATAGGTTTAAGTGAGACTTGAATGTGGGAAAGGCGAAGGTAAGTTTGCCATATTTAGTAGTTGTTGTACCAGAAAGAAAATTAACTTCAACAGTGCTTCTCATCATTCATCTGTCACTGCCTCGCTCCACCTTCCTCTCTCTCCCTGCACCTATTTTGCAATCACTCTTCTTATATTTTCATATTCATCTTTCTTTAATTTCCTCTATCACATCACCTAACTATATATAAATACACCAACTTTGCTAATCAATCCATCACTATTTTACCTTGTAAACATCATTAGACATTTTTAGCATAATCTCTTTTTTATCTTTTTTTTTAATATATAAGATTCGAATTCAAAATTTTACTTTAAAATTAAAATTAGGTTTTATGACTACTCAGATCTAAGAACTTGTTGATAAATATTACTTAACCTCTAACCATACAAACAAAAATTCAAAATAAAATAACAAATTAAATATGTTTTAATTTTGAACTTTCTCTAATTATTATTTCTAGTCTTGAATAAATTTTATTTAGTTCTATTCTTCTAAATTTTGTTCTATCAATAAGAAATTTTAACGTCAAGACCAAAATATTCATAAGAAAAAAATTTAAATTTTAAAAGTAAAAATTGACAAAAATTAACAAAAATTTAAAGGCTAAAATCATATTTAATTCTAAAATAAACTATACTTAAAATCTACTAAAAATTTGGCAGACTTTCTTCTATAATTTCAACAGCTAAAAATAACAATAACATGCTGGAATTTATAAATAACTAAATATAATATATATATATATATATATATATATATAAATCACGTTATTTCAATACCAAAGCATTAGTACATCTTCAAAATAATAATATTAACTTCCTCAAAAGATTGGTCCCCGCTTGATATTATTTTAGATATGGTCCATCTGTCTAAACTTTAACATATATATATATATATATATATATATATATATATATATATATATATATATATATATATATATATATATTAAAAATAAATATGCTACTATTTAAAAAAATAACTCTTATCTGTTCTGTAAATAAATATTTATAAAAAAAAACATTATTTTTTGAATTTTTTTAACCTACTAAAAAATACTTTAAGAAAATGTTTTTTAAAAAATATTTGTTTAAAGAATAGATAAGAGGTATTAAAAAAAGTAAGAAAAAAACTCATTTATTTTGTCACATGATAATATAAACATTGTTTACTTTTATTTATCTCTCAAATTTAAAAATATTTTTTCTTCTACTCAAATGTCATTAGTTAATTTGTCAAATAAAATTCATTAATTAGTACTAAATCTATCATATAAAATTAATTTGTTACATAAAATTCAATTAATGTTGTATTCTTGTCTCATTGTCACTGTCAGTTATATTATTGTAGTCTTGAGGAATTAAAATATATATATTTTTTAAATTATAGAAACTAGAAAGGTCAATTTTAAATTTAAGAGATTAATAAAAAATTATTATAAATTTGAGAAACTAAAAATATATTTAAGTCAATAAAAAATACTTAAATATATTTTTAGTCATCATTATTATATAATTACTTTTAACTAATTATCTGTTAGTGAAAATATTAGGTGTTATCCACAATTATTTGTGAAATCATGTTGGTTTGTGACAATTGTAAAAAAAATTATAAATTCTTAGAGGGATAAAAAAATATTTTACAAGAAACAAAACCAAAATTTATTCATTTTAATAAAGATTAAAAATAATTTATAAATTTTAAAATGATTAAAAAATGAGAAAAAAAATATAAATATCAAAATTAAAAATTGTTCATTTTATAGTGAATAAAAATGTACTTTAAAAAATAAAAAAATGATCTTTTACAAAAAGTAAAACTAAAACTCATTTATTTTTTAAAATAACAAACATATTTAAGTCTTAAATAATAATAATAATAATAATAATAATAATAATAATAATAATACACTCTCTTTTCATTTTACTCGTCATTTATTTATTTCTCTGTTTCAAATGATTTTTCACTTTAAATATAAGAAGAATATTTATTACCTATTATCCTGCAGAAAATAAATGCGCTAATAGATGTGGAGAAAATTAGTACAATCAATTATGATGCCCTTTTATTAGTGGACCTCACTATGCGACGGGAGAGAAAAATTGTTGGGGTTTATATTACAGCCTTTAAGAAATGTTATTAACATATTTTTTAAAATATATTTTTTAATTTATTGAAATTTATTTAAATATACAAAATTTTATGCTTTCATATTTTATTTAATGTCCTTTTCTTCTAATTTTATGATTTTTAATAAATTATATTTAATAAAAATAAATGTGTTAGAGAGTATAAATATATTTAAAATTTAGTTGAGTTGAAACACGTATTTTTTCTATTAAACACGATTTTAAATTGATTTTAAACATCTACTATATTGCTAACACTCCTATAGTGTTACGGTCCTATTCCATTTTGAACTAAGATATTTCCCTAATCCAATATATTTAGCCTTGTAAAATAGGTTTTACTCTTATTATAGATCTTTTATTTGTATTTCCCAAGTACTTACTCCCTTTTTGTCAAAAAAAAAAAAAAAAGTACTTCCTTCCCTGCACCCCC